GGGAGCCCGATGCGGGACTCGATCCCAGGACTCCAGGATCATGACCTGAGCCGAAGGCAGTCGCTTAACCAACTGAGCCACCCAGGCGCCCTGACGACTCTTTTTAAGCAAGCTTCACACGTGGCATGGAGCCCAATGCAGGGCTTGAACTCACGACTGTGAGATCAAGAGCTGAGCTGAGATCAAGGGTCAGATGCTTAACCGACTGAGCCCCCCGGGGCGCCCCTGCCCTTCTCTTAGAGCACAGCTAAGCAACCCCCCAGCACACACATCCCTGGTGCCCCCTTCCAACACGGACGCAGCATTTTCCAGCACGCCACACTTGCTCATTCATTGTGATTATTGTTGGTCTCCCCCTGGCCAGGAGGGCAGCCCCCCCCCCGTCTTTTGTTCACAGCCTGGTCCTCCGAGGTGCTCAGGAGACGTGTCCTGCCATAGGGGTGATGTTGTTGAAAGGCTGAGGGGTATCATCGACCATACTGTGCTGCAGGCTAAGTCCTGTCCCCAAAAGACGTGTTTAATCCTCACCCCTGTACCCGTGAAGTAGGGTTTTATTGCGAAGCAGAATCGTTGTGTGTATGTTAGTAAAGAGGAGCTCACGCTGAAGGAGGGTAGCCATAATCCAACGACGGGTGTTCTCATAAAGACGCACAGGGGAGGTGGCCGCGTGACCACCGAGGCAGGCATGGGGTGATGGGGCTGCATGCCAAGGGACGCCTGGAGCCCCCAGGAGCTGGGAGAGCCAGGAGGGACTGTCCCCTGGAGCCTCCAAGGGAGCGTGGCCCTGCCCCACTTCGACCTCAGACTTCTGCGCTCCGGGACCGGGGAGAATAAAGTCCCGTGGTTGGAACCTCCTGGCTGGTGGTCATTTGTCAGAGCTGCCCCAGGAAGCTCATGCATTCAGAGTGCCAGAATCTTCTCTGGAGTCAGGTGTTAACGGTATTTGGCTCTGCCACCAAGTCTGCATGTCTTTTCTGGCTGCTCTCAGGAATGACCACGGCGGAGTGATTTAAACCACTTTTTTCTGGGGCGCCTAGGTGGCTCAGTCGGTGAAGTGTCTGCCTTCCACTCAGGTCATGATCCCGGGGTCCTGGGATCGAGCCCCACGTCTGCTCAGTGGGGAGCCTGCTTCTCTCTGTTCTTCTCCCCCTCCCCCATCTCCCTCTCCCTGCTCATGCTCTCTCTCTTTCAAATAAATAAATAAGATCTTAAAAATAAATAAATAAATAAATAAACCACATTTACCATTTCAAGTTGTGAAGTCAGAAGTCCTAGAACTCAGACGCAGGCAGGGTTGGTCTCCCCCCCGCCGGGCTCCAGCCTTTTCCTGGCCCGCGGCCCCCCCTCCGTCCTCACCGCCAGCAGCGCAGGGTCTGCCCATCTCTGGGACTCCCACCCTCTGCCTCCCCATCGTGAGGGCCTCGTGAGGACGCCGGGCCCCCCGGGAACCCAGGGTCACCCCGTCCTCGGGGGCCCTGATAAGGTCCCCTCTGCTGCATGAGGGGACATGTCTGCAGGTTGAGGACAGGGACGGGGACGTGTTTGGGGCTGTCACTGAGGCTCCCTGCCTGGTTTCGTTCCCTGGTGTTTTCTGTCCTTGCAGAAAAGGAGAACAACTTCCCGCCGCTGCCCAAGTTTATCCCCCTGAAGCCCTGTTTCTACCAGAACATCTCCGACGAGATCCCCATCGAGCACCAGCTTCTGGTGAAGAGAATCTACCGGCTGTGGCTGTGTGAGCCCTGGGGCGGGGGCGGGGCCTCCCTGTGCAACCACTCAGACCCCGGCCCGGGACAGCCCACACCACAAAGTTTGCCCGAATTTTGGGCTGAACCTCGCCTTTCTAATACGGTGATGTCCCGAGTCCTCCTCTGGCTCCGTGACTCCCATGCTGACCAGAGCCCGGCGGGTGGGAGGGGTCCTGGCCTGCCACCCTCCGTCCCCGCTCACCCTCCTCACCCCCCTCTCCAGTCTACTGTGCCACCCTGGGGGTCAACCTTGTCGCCTGCCTGGCCTGGTGGATCGGTGGTGGCTCGGGAGCCAACGTTGGCCTGGCCTTGGTCTGGCTGCTGCTCTTCTCCCCCTGTGGCTACGTGTGCTGGTTCCGGCCTGTGTACAAGGCCTTCCGGTAAGTTGGGGCGTGGGGCGGGCTGCATCTCTGAGGGGGCCTCGGGGAGTGTCTGGTGTTCAGCACCGGCAGGAGCCAGACGCCTGACCGCACGCTCGGGGCCTGCGCCCTTGCCGGCCATGCGTCTTGCGCACGTGCCCAGAACCGTTCTGTTGGGTTTGGAGACAGCTTATATCCAGGGGCTGCAGACTACGGCCAACGAGGGCCTGTTCTGTCTTTTAGTAATTAACTCATCTGTCCGCTCACCTACTCGTAGCAGCGTTTCTGGTGTCTTCAAGGGGTTGTGGAACCATCACTTCTGTGTAGTTCCAGAACATTCCATCACCCCCAAGGCAACCCCATCCCCGTCAGCTGTCACCCCCCAGCCCCGGCCCCCACGGGCCCCCTTCCCGTCCGTGGATGAGCCTGTTCTGGACGTGTCACCCACATGGGCTCACACCCCGTGTGGCCTTCTGTGTCTGGCTCCCTCCCTGAGCATCGTGGGCTCGATGTCCGTCCCCGGGGCCGCGCGTGTGGGTGCCTCGCTCCTGTCTGTGGACACTCGCCCCCAGCAGGCCCCCTGTTACTCAGGAGCTGCAGTGTTTGCCCCTAGATGGTTCCCAAATCCTGGGCTCTCAGAGTCCATCAGACAGTGTCCCTGAGGCCCTCCTTGGAGACAAGACCTAGAAACCCACGTGTGTGCTGGAACTAGACAGGCCGTTCCTCCAGGTTCTGGGCTGGCTCCGGCTGCCTCGTTCAGGAACGCGCGGGGCCTGCTGACGGCCTGCGAGCGCCCTGCCTCCTCCCACTGCCTTCAGGGTCCTGCAGGCCCCGTCCTGCTTCAGTGGCCTGCGCCGCGGCCCCTCGGCGGCTGCCCCCCGTCCTCCAGGGAGCATGCAGAGCCCCTTAAATCTGCGACACGCCTTCCCCTGGGTTAACCTCCAGCACCCACATGAGCGTTGTCGCTCTCTCTGAGATCTCTCAGACCCCTTTGCAGCCAGGAAGCTGTTGGCGCAGTGTTTCCCAGAGAAGCCGTGTGGTGGCCCCGTAGAGTCCAAGCCCAGGCTGAGCAGCGTGGGATGGCGCGTTCGGGTTGGCACCTCTGGGGAGGGTGGCAGCCCCGTCCCCGCTGGTCCTGCCGCACGCGGGCTGCCGTGACAGCTGTTCTTTCTCTCTCTCTAGAGCCGACAGCTCCTTCAACTTCATGGCGTTCTTCTTCATCTTTGGAGCCCAGTTTGTTTTGACAGTCATCCAGGCGATCGGCTTCACGGGATGGGGTGCATGGTGAGCCAGGCCCCCGGGAGCCCAGGCTGCAGTGCAGGGGTGTGACGCGCGTTCACTGTGGGACAGCAGAGCCCGAGTCTCCCAGGGCGTAAGATAAGGCGCGTGTGCCCTCGTGCGTGAGCTCTCGGGGCGGCACCCACGGGGCTGGGGCTGGGGTCTGCTGCCCACGCGCACCTGGGGCCTGCCCCTGAGGTTCCTGCCCGGGACGCACTCATGGGCACCTGGAAGGCTGGGAAGTGGGCCTGGGGGGTGTCTGGGAGGAGCAGCTCAGCGGACAGCACAAGGGCCTCCCCGGGATGGCCTCCTGGGACACTGCCATCGAGGGAGAGCCGGTTTTCTGTTTGCTTTTAAGGTTTTATACCTAGTCCTGTGGTTGCTGTCACAGATTACAACAAGCTTAGTGATTTAAACAGTTACTTCACACTTTTGGGGTCAGGAGTCTGACGTGGGCCTCATGGAACCAAACCCCAGCGCGGGCAGGGCTGGTCCCCCCCGGGAGACCTGGCTCCGGCCTCTTCCTGGCCCGCGGCCCCCCCCCATCCTCACCCCCAGCAGCGTGGGGTCTGCCCATCTCTGGGACTCCCATCCTCTGCCTCCCTCTCCTGAGGACCTCGTGAGGACGCCGGGCCCCCCGGAAACCCAGGGTCACCCCCTCCTCGGGGCTGTGACAGGGTCCCCTCTGGGGACACGTCCCAGGTCCCAGGACGAGAATGTGGGTGCCCGTGGGGCTGCTGGCTGGCCGTGGGTGGTGTCTTTGGTGTCAAGTATCCTGTGGGCGACATGTGAGGCTGCGCGTGCGCGTGCTCGGCCTTGTCCGTGCTCTGGAGTCCTGTCTGCTCAGGTGTGCCCTGTGCGGCCTCTCGTTTGCCATCCCTTAGGGTGTTTGTGGCATCCTGAGCGTGCCCCTCGGCTCCTTCCTGTTGTCTGTTCTTTTCTGTGTTTTCCGTCCCCTTTTCAAAGTTTACGAGTCACCTTCTGCTCTCCCCTGGGATTGTTTTCAGCACAGCCTTCCCCTGTTGCTTCCTTCCTGCCCGGTGAGCAGATGAGGTCTGTGTGGACCCTCGGTATCGGGTTTCTTCTTGGCTGATGCCCTCCCAAATCTGGGTCTGGAGGGCCAGTGAAGGACTGTTTTGGGGCCCCAGGCGCGGGGATGTGCCGGGAGGACCCCCAGGCTCAGCAGACGGTCGACCCCACGGCCGTGGTTTATACAGAGAGGATAGGAAGCCAAATGAGCTCAGGGCAGAGGCGTGGGGGGTGGGGGCGGGGACACCAGGCAAGACCTTCCAGAGTCCTCTCCCGGGGTGTCCCACAGGATACGCTTAGCTCCCCCCCAAACAATGGGACCGCGTGTGTGAGGTGTGGTCTCCAGGGGACTGGCAGAGACCCAGTGCCCGGTTCTCTGCGGGGGTTGGTCTCGCGGGCCCCTCTGCCCGGCTTGGGTCGGGACCCCAGACTCCGGGAGGGGAGCAGGCGCTCAGCCTGAACCTCGTGTCTGCACAGACGGTTCAGGGACCCGAGCCCCCCGGCAGCGAGGGTGGTGGGAGCCTGGAGTCGGTTCCAGACACCACCGAGGGCCAGCCTTGCGAGCCGCCCTCTGGGGAGGGAAGTCTCAGGCCTGCCATGCGAGCTCTTTTCTGCTCAGTGCCACCCCACCCTGGTTTCCACACTGGACAGGGGTGGTGTGCACCTTCTTCGGGGGTCGGCTTGCAGAAAGGGGACTTCAGGAGTTTTCCTTCTTGCTGGAATGCTGGCCAAACAGGGCAGGGGACAGGTAACCAACCAGCTGGTGAGCTTGGGCAAAGAGCTGCTCTGAAAGGTTTTTCTCTCCTGAAAAATCAGGAGGAGGAGAACACAGCACCTGCGGTCGGCGCTGTAGCCCCGTCTGCTCTCGTAAAAAGCTTGTCATCGCTCTCGTTCTTTCGCTAGGTACTGGCCCGCACAGGTGGGGCGGGGCCACTGGGCGAGGGTCCGGGGAGGCCCCACTGGTCCCGAGCCCCTTGGCCTCCCCAGGGCTCGGTGCAGGGAGTGGGGACCCCGAGGAGCCGGCCTGCCAACCACATTCCCTTTGGAAGCCCAGCCCAGGGTCTTCCCGCCCTGCTGGCCCTTGGTGGGCGGCAGGCTCGTGGCCCACCGCCAGGGGGCAGGTGGGCTGCAGCTGCGGCCCGGCCGGTCTCTGCGCCCAGCAGCCACCGGTACTGTTTCCCTGGGGCGTCAGGCTCATCCTCAGAGGGCATGCTCCCGGGACGCCCGAGTGCGTGAGACCACACTACTCTTCACGCCTGAGAAACCACCCTGGATTCCTTCACGCTCCCCTCTCGCTTAAATTGTGGCTTTTTTTTTTTTTTTTAAGATTTTATTTATTTATTTGAGAGAGAGAATGAGATAGAGCATGAAAGGGGAGGGTCAGAGAGAGAGGCAGACTCCCTGCTGAGCAGGGAGCCCGACGTGGGACTTGATCCCGGGACTCCAGGATCATGACCTGAGCCGAAGGCAGTCGCTTAACCAACTGAGCCACCCAGGTGCCCTAAATTGTGGCTTTTTAAGTGGGCTTTTTAGGGGCGCCTGGACAGCTCAGTCGGTGGAGCGTGCGACTCTTAACTCTCAAGGTTGTGAGTTCCAGCCCCACGTGGGGCGTGGAGCCTGCTTGAAAGTTTAAAAAATTAGAAAGAGAAAGTCTTTAAATTACTATCTATTTATTTATTTCTAAGCGATGTGTCTTGTGAGTGGGTTTACGATGACGCTCATGACGTGCAGCCTGTGGATGATCCCCTCGGGGGGCGGCAGCTGCATTCTCTTGGCCATCTCCTGGCAGAGGTCAAGAAAGGCTCTCCCCAGAGGAGCAGAGGAAGCTGGAAGAAGAGGTGCTGGTACAGGAGAGTCGTATGCTCTGACACCCCGTTTCCTGTGGGGTCTCTGGTTCACGCTCCAGGCATGTGTGTCCCCCATAGATTCGGTTACTTGGAGCGTGCCCAGTTCGGTTGCAGTGCTCCTTGGGGCAGAGGGGACCCCTGAGCTGCTTCCACCCCTCGTCCTGACTCTCCGGCCCCCAACCCTCAGACTGCTCCTGGAGCCTCCAGGGCAGGACCTCGGAGGGAGGGGCAGAGAGCAGGAGGCTCTGGGGCCTGGGCCGGGCCCTGGGGTGAGGCCGGGGTGAGGGTGCCGACCTCCCCCCACAGCGGGGAGACGGTAGGAGGGACACCCAGTGCTGTGTACCTGGAGACGGGGAGTGACTGAGCCAGCCAGGCGCCCTGTAATAGGGTTTTTATGTTGGGCCACTTTGGGGTTTTCAGGAAGGTGCAGAGACAGGACAGAGTGCGGTGGTCACACCTGTCGGCATCTGATGTCTTTGCCGCTCCCGGAGGTCAGTGCGGCTCTGGCACTGCTGTCCTGGTGGCTGGCTGTCCTTGGAGCCCCGCGTTTCCATGAATGTCCTGTTCAGGATTCCATGCGGCGTTGAACTGCATTTTGCTTTGGCAGTATGTCCCGATGGGGTGTGCATGCTTCTGCGGGTCCGTTTCTCTCTCAGGCTCTCCCCAGTCTTTGCACCCCTCCTTTCTTTCTAGTTGATTTATCGGAGAGGGAGGCTTCAACGTCCTGCATTTCCCTGCCGTTTGGTTTTTAGAATAATGGCTTTAGCGAGCTACACGGCACAGACCAGAAATTCGCTCTTAATGGTGAACAGCTCGGTGGTTTTAGTGCATCCACAAGGTTTTGCAACCATCGTTTCTATTTAGTTCAAGAATGTTCTGTCAACCTCAAAGTACCTTGCCCCCATCAGCCATCACTCACCATTCCTCCCCCTCCCAGCCCATGGCCCCCACGAGCCCCCTTCCCGTCCGCGGATGAGCCTGCTCTGGACGTGTCACCCACGTGGACTCACACCCCGTGTGGCCTTCTGTGTCCGGGTCCCTCCCTGAGCGTCCCCGCCCCCATCAACGGTCACTCCCCACCTTCTCCCCAGCCCCGGCCCCCACGAGCCCCCTTCCCGTCCGTGGATGAGCCCGTTCCGGACGTGTCACCCACGTGGACTCACACCCCGTGTGGCCTTCTATGTCCGGTTCCCTCCCTGAGCATCGTGGGCTCGGGGTCCGTCCCCAGGGCCGCGTGTGAGGGCGCCTGGCTCCTGTCCGCGGCCGAGGGACGCTCTGGTGCGTGGGGGACGTGCTGTGCTTCCATCCATGCTGATGGGCTGGGGGGGTCTGGGGGACGTGCCGTGCGCTCCCGTCCGTGCCCATGGGCCCGGGGGGGTCTGGGGGATGCGCTCCTGTTAGCGCCTTGGCTGTGACACATGTCTCCACACGTCGTGTGTGCGCTAGCCGCGGGGCTGTTTGAGGACGCGGCCACTGGCCAGACTCCCCAGATCTCGCATCTCCACTCCGTCTTTTCACACGCCCTGTTGTCCTCTCCCTGGTTCCAGCCCCACGAGCTCCGGCCTGAGCAGCTCTGGGGGAGCTCTGGCGCCCCTCATCCCCTCCCTGAGCCCCGCCCTCCATCTCCTCGCCTCCCTGCATCCTCCCTGCTCCCTGCCGCGGACGCCTTGGCCTCTTCCTGGTGCAGATGGTATGCAGCAGCCTCCGTCGCTCACCCCAGTGTAGCTGGCGGGGGCCAGAGCCCGAGCGCTGTCGCCCGGGGTCGTACCTGAGATGTTTCTCGCCCTGGTCCTGCGGGGAGGCGGGTGCTGTGGAGCAGGCTCCGTGTCCCGCATTCCTGCCCGTGCGTGCCTTTACTTCCCCAGAGGCCACAGAGCTCAGGCTGGGGCCTCCGCCCGCCTGGCCCCTCCCCAGTGCCCCAGACCTGTTGGGAGGACACTAGTCCCCAAAGTGACAACCCCCCCCACACACAGCCAGGGCTTCTGCCCTCCTGGGCGCCTCCAACCACCCAGCACCCGCCTGGGCCCTCCGGCTGCCTGGCTGTACCTCACACCGACTCCCTGACCCAGTTGAGGCCCCCAGTGGCTTTCCCAGCCCCCCCAGGCTGAGTGGGATTGGGCGGCGGTCCGTCCCCAGCGCCCAGCACAGAATGAGGCTGCGGCCCAGGGGCTCCTCGGCCGTCCCCACGTAGGCACTTGGGTGGGGAGGACACGCAGCTTCCCTTCTGTTCGGAGCGTGGCATGGTCTCTGGAAGATGCTTACAGGAAACCCATGCGTGCTGAGTGCACCCCAGTACTTGCCCTGCTACCCAAGGCGGGAACAGACACTCGCACGCAAGCGCAGGCAGCCTCCAGAGACACAGGGCTTGGCCTCGTGTGAACTGGGCGGCCGCAGGTGCGTCACGGCTCCGGTGTGGGGTGTGGCAGGGCTCCCATGGGGGCGGCTGGACGCAACCTTCTGCTTCTCGGGGTTGACGCTCCTGCGGGGCTCTGGGTGGCAGTGTGTGTGTGGCCGTGGGGGCTGGAACAGCCCGGGTGAATGGGGGCCTAGCTGGCTGATCTGTGGATGTGGCCGCGTGGCGGGCTCCTGGAACAGAGGGACGCCCGCGAGACAGCCGGGACGCCTGAATAAAGCACGTGGGTTAGTTAATAATAGCGAACCTAGTGCTAACTTCCTAGTTACTGTACAGTCTTCTAAGTCCCTGGAGGTCGAGCTGTGTATTTTTATTACCTGTTCAGAAAAATAAAATCCCAAAATACACTTATTTCCCACATCTCACCCCAAGAGGCAAGTGTGGGTGTTCGTCCACACGTGTACAGGACAGAACAGGTCCCGTGGGGTCTTGCTGTGCTGGCTCCTCTTTAACTCTTTTCCCCTCTCGCTTCCTCAACACCTGCTCGGCATGCCGTCGAGTGGCTGTGGTACCCCGGACATCTGTGTTCTTTGCAGCTGGTGAACACTGAGGATGCTCCCGGGTTTTCACGAAGACAAGGAATTCTGGGGCATGAATTCTTAGGAGGAGGAGAGCTGGGTGCAGGAAATGAGCACGTAGGGCTTTTTTTTTTTAAAGATTTTATTTATTTATTTGACAGAGAGAGAGAGTGAGAGCAGGAACACAAGCAGGGGAAGTGGGAGAGGGAGAAGCAGGCCTCCGGCGGAGCAGGGAGCCCAATGCGGGGCTTGATCCCAGCACCCCGGGATCATGACCTGAGCCGAAGGCAGACGCCTAACCATCTGAGCCACCCAGGCGCCCCGAGCACGTAGGGCTTTTTGTAGATGACTGCCACTGTCCCCGCAGAGGGACATGCTCCCACCAGGGCAGGGTTCCTCTCCTCAGCCCCTTGCACACAGCACACTCGCCTGCGTGGCAGGGGAATGCAGAGACCCCGTTCTAACATGTTTTCCTCGTTGCTGGGTTTGAGCATCGTTTCGTGTGTTCACTGGCCCCTGCAAGTCCTCGTACCAATTGCCCATTTCCCTGCTAAGCGTTTATTTTTTTGTTGTTGATTTGTTGGTGCTCTTTACATATAGAGGATGCTGGGCCCTTGTTTGGTCGACGTGCTGGCACCCATGCTCTCTCTTGCCCCTTGCAGTGGTTGGCTGGCGGCAGTCGGGTTTTTCCAGACCAGTGTTGGAGCTGCTGTGGTCATGCTGCTTCCAGCCATCATGTTCTCCATGTCAGCTGCCATGATGGCCATCGCGATCATAAAGGTAAGGCCCCTGGGTCCTGGGACTGCCAGCATCTTCCCATGCATCCCGTCGCCTGAGTCCCCGAGTTCTGCGGGCTCCTCTCATCCCTGTTTTAGGAGCGAGAGACTGAATGTCCCGGAACGAGCTGACCTCTACTCAGGCAGGCTTGGGGAAGCAGCATGGTGTGGGCAGCTGATGACCACACCCGCCTTTGGGCACCACCCGCCAGAGGCCCCAGCACGTGTGTGGCCCTGGGTGTGCTCCACGCTGCCCGATTTGGCCACCACTAGACACTTGCCGCCCCGTACAGTTAAATTCACATTAAGTAAAATTAAGTAAAACTGAAAACCCAGGGGCATCCGCTACACCCACGTCATCTCAAGTATTTGCTGGCTGCGTGGGGCTGGTGGGCCGTCTCCACCATCACGGAAAGTTCTCGTGGGCAGTACGGCCCCAGGTGCTTGGAGACTGCAGCAGAACGCTCGTTCTGCAGAAGCTGGCGGGCAGCCGTGGGCTCTCCCGGGGGTGGACGCCAGGCCTGCAGCCCTCAGGTGTTGGTCAGAGCCTGTGGATGTGCGTGGAGTCCCCACGGGAAAGCAGAGGGACGGGGCGTCACTCCAGCGCTGGGCCGCAGCACGGGCTGTGTGGCGGTCTGTGATTGGATCTCTTTAGCCCTTTGCCACAAGGTTCTAGCTTTGAAAGCCCGTTTTCTGGCTTAGTAGGCTTTCTCCCCCTGCACCCGGCTGTGTGGGAAGACAGGAGCATTGTTCCACGCCCCCCATATGTGCACCCCAAAGGCTTTCAGCTGTGTGGACGGGCGGGGGCGGGGGGACTGCAGAAACCACAAAGGAGACACACTGTGAATGAATCTAAACACGGTTCCGGGATCAAGCCCACACAGGAGCCGACTGTGTCCAATCAGGGACTTCTGTTCAGCAAACATTCTAAATTAGAAAGCAAATACTAATTGAAAATGCCTATAGGGCTAGAGAGGAAAGATTTGTGGACTCAAATAGAGTGTATTTTTCCTAAACAGTGGGAGGACCCCTGTGTCCATCCCTGGGACCAGGCCCAGGCGCGGGGATGTGCCGGGAGGACCCCCAGGGCTCAGCAGACGGTCGACCCCACGGCCGTGGTTTATACAGAGAGGATAGGAAGCCAAATGAGCTCAGGGCAGAGGCGTGGGGGGCGGGGGCGGGGACACCAGGCGCGAGCTTCCAGAGTCCTCTCCCGGGGTGTCCCACAGGACGCGCTTAGCTCCCCCCAAATGAGACGGGACCGCGTGTGTGAGGTGTGGTCTCCAGGGGACTGGCAGAGACCCGGTGCCCGGTTCTCTGTGGGGGTCGGTCTCGCGGGCCCCTCTGCCCGGCTTGGGTCGGGACCCCAGACTCCGGGAGGGGAGCAGGCGCTCAGCCCAAACCTCGTGTCTGCACAGACGGTTCAGGGACCGAGCCCCCCAGCAGCGAGGGTGGTGGGAGCCCGGAGTCGGTTCCAGACGCCACTGAGAGCCAGCCTTGCGAGCCGCCCTCTGGGGAGGGAAGTCTCAGGCCTGCCGTGCGAGCTTTCTCTTGCACACCCCCTACTCCCACCGAGAAGGGTCGGAGAGGCAGATATTTAATAGTCATGCAGGAGAAGAAAGATCCCTGTGAGAAACGGGGAAAGCATTCAGCTTCACTGGTCATCAAGAGCGTCCAGTTAAAATGCCATTTTTCACTTGCTGAGTTTTCCAGAACTTCTAGCGTTTCTAGCACTGCCCCATGTTCCCCGAGGTGCAGTGGGGAGTCAGTCCTTCCTGGGGGCGTCTTCCTAGGAGACTGGGCCACGTATGGGATGCTAGTGTCAGGTGGGTGGCCCGAGAGCCCGGCCCCGGAGCTGGGGCGGAAAGCAGTGCTGGTGGCCACGCACGTCAGCAGCGGGGGGGACCGTGGTTGTAGATCAGGGTGGGGCCCTCTGAGTCCACCATGTCGGCTTTGGTGCATTTTCTAACGTGTCTGCCAAGATGTTTCTGTGACTTCTGTCATTCACCCAAGACGGCCTGCTTTAAACACAAGCAGGTCTCTTGTCGCCACACACACGCTCAGTTTGGGTTCTCTCTCCTCTGCCTTCCCATCCTCTGCCCTGCAGGTGCACAGGATCTATCGGGGGGCTGGCGGAAGCTTCCAGAAGGCGCAGACCGAGTGGAACACGGGCGCTTGGCGGAACCCACCGTCCCGAGAGGCTCAGTACAACAACTTCTCGGGAAATACCCTGCCCGAGTACCCTACTGTGCCCAGCTACCCGGCAGCCGGCAGCCAGTGGCCGTAGAGGGGCTGGTTAGCCCCGCTGCCCGCCCCCCTCCCCTCCCCCGGCCAGGGCGGCGGAGCCTGCGAGCACTCGGGGACCCGCACTTGTGTTCGTCTCGTCTTTGGCAGTGAGGTCCTCGCAAGCGCCACCCAGAAACCGTCCAGCCTGTGCTGCCCAGCAGGACGGCTCCCATGCTGCACAGCACACCCCTCCTCTGGAGGTCTCGGGCCGCCCTCAGGCCTCCCCGGGGAGAAGGGGCAGCAGGCCGGCCACCTGCCTTCCAGAGCTGATGGCACGGAGAGGGACTTCGCCAGGGCGTCACCCTCATCCCTTCTCCTCCCCTCCTTCCTGTCCCCGTGGGCGACGGAGGGGCTTGGCTGGGTCCTCCGTGTTCTTGTCCTTTGTGTCCCTGTCCACCTGCAGCCAGAGGGCTCTTGTGGACGGCCCTGTGGGGTTGGCCAGAGGCCGATGAGCCGCCTGGGCACCATGATCTGAGCCTCTGTGCATCTGTCTGCCCGCTGGGCTCTGTGTGGGGCCATTGGCCTTCCTGCCCATAATGGCTCTCTCCGTGGGAACGTCAAGGGGACCCCTGTCGAGATCTGAAGGCTGGGGCGGAACCCCTTTGTGGGGGACGGGGGCCGTGGGGATCTGAAGGCTGGGGCGGGACCCCTTTGGGATCTCCCCTCTGCAGACGCAGGGAAAGCCTCAGGAGCGGGCAGAGTGGGTGGGCCGGCCGCTCGGAGCCCGCGGCCACACAGCCCTCGCTCGAGCTGCAGGAAGCAGGAGACTGGGTTTCTTGAGAGTGGCCTTCTAGAAGTTAAGATGTGACAAACCTGTGCCTTAGTGAGCAATCTAAACGACATGTCACCTCCCTCCGGCTCTCGTAGCTCCTTCTGAGATGAAGGACTGGAATGTTCCGCGGGGATCTCGGCAGCAAGCCTGTGAGCTGACCGGCCGGAAGAGCCCTCGTCGTTTCCTAGCCCTTGCTGGCCAGGCGCCCCAGGCGCCCCGAATGCTGCCTCTTGGCTCCCGGCTGGCTGTCTCGGGGTAGGACAGGGACCCTCTGCATCATACAGTGCTGCGCGGGACACCGGTCTCTCCAGAAGCCCCAACCAGGCAGCCCTGTTCTTTGCTCTCCACACCCACACTTGCTTGCTTTGGCTGCTCATGCTGGGTGCCGTGTGGTGTCCAAAGGTGGCCGTGGTTCCTGAGGACGCGCCCGGGCCTGGGTCCCCTCAGGTCTCAAGCCGTGGGTCTCCCGGGTGTCCCTGAACACCCCCTAGCCAGCCTCTGCGACCAAGAGGCGTGCGCTGCACTGACCGTGGGGCCGAGTCCCCTGCTGCACACGGGACTGAGCAGGTGTGGCCCCAGGTAGGAGAACCACATGCACATCCGCCTTTGTTACTTCGTAGTGGGTTTTCTTACGGGAGAGTATCCTGGAAATAAATACCATAGTCCTTCCTGCATCACGGGGCCTCTGCGGGGCTGTTGGGGCATGTGAGTCTGTGGCCCTAGCCCCACACTGCCCCTGCCTGTGACCCTGCCCCGCACAGCGTCGCCCTCGTGTACTGTGAGCCATCACTGCATTTCCTTCATGCTTCTCCTTTCAGTCAGCTTGCTTTTTTTATGCTCCACTGTTCTAACTTGAAAAAGGGAAGTGTACAGAAAATGAGAAACCAGCATCACTTGCCCCAAACGAAAAAATGGTAGACATGGCTGCAAGAGAAACAGGAGGGCCTTGCAGAAGCCCAGCTGCAGGGGCCTCCCCAGGGCTCACGGCCTGTACACCCCACGTGGACACGGGAGGGAGGGTGGGACGCTTTGCCACCACAGGAAGGAGACTAGGTCCACAGAGAGAAACCAGACCAAACCCCAAGCAAATGGCATGGGTTGCATTGTGTCCCCCCCCCCAGCCCCCCACAGATTCACATGTTCACATCCCAGCGCCCAGCAGGTCAGGACGGGAAATTATTTGGAAATGGGGTGGTCGCAAGGGTACTTAGTTAAGGTGAGTAGGGTGGGCCCTAAAGCGATGACAGCTGTCCTTACAAAAAGGCGACATGTGGACCCAGACAGGCAGGCAGAAACCCCATGAAGATGGGGCCGATGCTTCTACAGGCCAAGGCACGCCGAGATGACCGGTGACCTCCCCCCGTGAGCTGGGGAGCCTGGGACAGGTTCTCCTTCAGCAGGAACCAGCCCTGCAACACTTCTTGGGCTGTGCGCTCCTGAACTGTGAGGGTTAGGGTTAAGGCGGCCCCAGGAAGCACCCCCAGATGCTAGAGCAGCGAACAAGGAGGTGGGGTGGGGTGGGGTGTGCTGTGGGGATGCACCTGTCAACGTGTGGGACGCAGATTGCAGGGCTGGACGGGGAGCGGGTGTCCCTGGGCTGGGCGGGGGGACCGGACTGGCGACAGGGCAGGAAGGGGGGAAACAGGGCCCGGGTGCGGGGATGTGTGTGCCCTGAGCTCCCAGGTGACCTGTAAGGACGCCGGATGGGGTTGGAGTTGAGAGACCAAGGCCCAAGTTGAGAAAGGGACCCTTTGTGTGGGCGGCCGCATCAAAGAACCGCGGACTCAGGGTTGAAGCCACAGGGGTCTCTCCTCCCACCTTCTGGGGGGCGGAGCTGGGATCCACAGCAGGATGCTGGCGGCATCACCTATGACCACGGACTGGGGGGCTCAGCGCTCCTGCATCCTGGGGGCCAGATGTCTGAGCTGTCGGTGTTCACGGGGCGGCGTCCCCTCTGCAGGCTCCAGGGAAGGGCCCTCCCTGCCTCTCCCAGCTGAATACTAATACTCTATTAGAATTTAAGACAAAATTTTAAAACATTTGTTAATGTCATCTAAAAATCTGTACATTATGCTTCAACATTAAAAAATAACTTTTTTTTTTTTAGAAAAAGGGGTGAGTGGCATTCTTCATTTTTGCAGAGAGGGTGGCTGGGTTCTCTCTGTTGTGACCTGTTTGGGCCCAATGTAAAGATTGGGGGCAAAAGGTTTATCAGGGAGACAAGCGCGCAGGGGTCAGTAGGGAGGCGTCAATGAGCCGGTCACAGCCGCGAGCAGTCGAGGCTCAGTCCCTCTGGGACCCTTCGGAAGGCACAGACCTGTCTCAGGCTGTCCCTCCGTGTTTGGGGCTTGGAGGGCCTGGGCTCTGCCCTCAGGTGGAGCGCAGTGGGTGCTGGTCTGTGTGCGTGTATGGATGTGTGCATACCTCTGTGTGTTTTGTGACAAGTTGAATTGTGTACCCTTCTGTTCATATGTTGAAGTCCTAGCCCCCAGGACCCCAGGAGGTGACCTTTGGAAACAGGGTCATCGAAGGAGTAATTTTTCAAGGTAAGGTGAGACCATAAGGCGTAGAGTGGTTCCAACCCAATATGACAATAAAAAGGGGATACGTGGGCCCAGACAGGGAGAAGCCCCGTGAAGCTGGGGGAGCCTGGGACAGGTTCTCCCTCAGCAGGAACCAACCCTGCGACCCCTTGTCCTCGGACAGGTACGGGGGCCTGGAATCTCCACATATCTTTTCGGGGACCACAGTTCAACCTGTAACAATGGCCGATCTGGGTCCACATCTGTGGGAGTTTCCTGGGACTGCCACATCCAAGTACCACAAACTGGGTGGCCTGAAACAATTCATCCTCCTAAATTCTGGAACCCAGAAGCCTGAAATCAAGGTGTTGCGGGGCCACGCTCCCTCTGGAGGCTCCAGGGGAGGGTCCTTCCAGCTTTTCCCAACTCCTGGGGCTCTAGAAGTCCCTCGGCCTGTGGCTGACCCCCTCCAGTGTCCACTCTCTCTTCGTTGTTTTCCTCCTTTTTTAAAAAAAAAAGATTTGGGGCACCTGGGTGGCTCAGTCGTTAAGCGTCTGCCTTCAGCTCAGGTCATGATCCCGGGGTCCTGGGATGGAGACCCGCGTCAGGCTCCCTGCTCAGCCAGGAGCCTGCTTCTCCCTCTCCCACTCCCCCTGCTTGTGTTCCTTCTCTCGCTGTGTCTCTCTGTCAAAATAAAATTTTTTTTAAAAAAAATTCATTTTAGAGTGAGTATGCGTGGGGGAGGGGCAGAGGGTGGGGCTGAGGGTGAGAATCTCCAGCCGACACCGTGCTGAGCGCAGAGCCTGACGAGGGGCTCGATCCCAGGACCCGAGATCATGACCTGAGCCCCATCTGAGTCAGGTGCTTCACCGACTGAGCCACTCAGTCGCCCCGTGTATCTTCTTCTTATAACAACACCAGCCGTTAAGTTAGAGCCCACCTTAATCCAGCGTGACCTCGTCTGAATTCAACTCATCACCTCCGCAGAGACCCTATTTCCAAATAAGGTCCCTTTTTTTTTTTTTTAAAGATTCTTTTTTTATTTATTTAAGAGAGAGAATGGGAGACAGGGGAGCGTGTGAGGGGGAGGATCAGAGGGAGAAGCAGACTCCCCGCCGAGCAGGGAGCCCGATGCGGGACTCGATCCCGGGACTCCAGGATCATGACCTGAGCCGAAGGCAGCTGCTTAACCAACTGAGCCACCCAGGCGCCCCTAAATAAGGTCCCGTTTTGAGGTTCCAGGTGGATGTGCGTTTGGAGGAGGCACTATTCGACTCTGTACCTCGCCCAGGCCTTGGACCCCTAGGAGTGGGGTCAGGGAGCTCCTCATCTGGGATCTTCGGTGACGCGTGACACATTGCCGTCCCCTGCTCAGGTTTGCGGGGCTTTCCCGGTCTTAGCACGGAGGGTCCCAGGAGGCCTGGGCGCGCCGGGCGCTTGTGCACCTGCAATGCGTCTGAGCACCGCGGGAGGCAGACGCCTGCGAAGCCACACAACGGCAGAGGACCACCACCGTCTGGGACCCCTCACGCTCAGCAGCCCCGGAGACGGAGCTGGATGGGCTTGCTCTGGGCCAATCAGAGGCGGCTGGGGGGTCACATGGTACAGCCCTGGCGGCTGGGGTCCGTTCTCCGAGGACGGGAGAGCCCCGGGTGGGGAGTTCCGCCCAGGAGCCCTGCGCTCTCTCCCGCAGACGGCTGGGCTTCTGCTCACGGGCTGCCCCTCGCTGCCGCTTGCGTGTCTCCTGGCCTCGGTTTCCCCTCCTGAGCTCACACCATCCCGCGAGAACGTTGACTTGCCCCAGCTCGGGATGCGCGTTCTCTTCCACCACAGCGGCTGGCGTGGGATGGGGGTGCTGGGCCACCCTCAGAACCGGGAGCCGGCGCTACCCAGCGGTGGCGGGCTGCAGCATTGCAGGTGCGAAGCCAGGGGACCGTGGGCAAGTCACCCCTCCTTTGTAAACCTGTTAACACTTCTCGAAAATGGGCATGTGCCCGTCTGCCTCCCTGCCCCCACGGTGGGGGCCGGGGGGAGAGGCCTGGCTGCAGGGAGCACGAATCCAACCCAATTCCACAAAAGTGAACCGGGGCACCTGCTTGTGTCAGTGGGCTGGCCTGTTCCTGTCCCCCCGGGGGTCTCTCCAGGGAGATGGGCCTGCCTCCTCCAGGGGTAAGGGAACACAAGGGGTCGCTGCCTGCCCACCTCCTCCCTGAAATCCACAGCTGTTTGGGATTTATGGAGAGGCTGGGATTTTGTTTGGCTTTCCCAGGTGGGGGGATGGGCAATGGGGCAACCGGCTCAACCTCTTTACAAGGTTCTTCTCTTTTTTAAAAGATTTTATTTATTTGACAGAGACATAGCGAGAGAGGGAACACAAGCAGGGGGAGTGGGAGAGGGAGAAGCAGGCTTCCCGCCGAGCAGGGAGCCCGATGCGGGGCTCGATCCCGGGACCCTGGGATCATGACCTGAGCCGAAGGCAGACGCTTAACGACTGAGCCACCCAGGCACCCCTCTTTACAAGGTTCTTACTGCACTGAGAGCCCCAACGGGGCCCTTTCCCACACCAGCTTCCCCAAATGGTGTCCCCATGATCAAAGCTAGAAGGGGTCAGGCACCTGCGGGCCACATTCAAAGTGGGTTAAAAAAGGGGAAACACAAAAGGCTGTTTGCTTTTTCAAAGACTCCAAGTGATTTGAGAGAGAGAGATGTTCCGCTGACAATTCTTTATTCATGAGTTCATGAATTCCCATGATATACCTGAGGGGGCTATGGAGAGTCCCACCTTACAGACGAGGATGCGGAGGACCAGAGAGGGCCAGCAACCCACGCATAGTTACACAGCCTTTTCCTGGCAACACCCCAGCCTTGGCCTCACTTTCCATGTCCTTTCGGCTGCCTGGGATGCTGCTTTTTACAGGGGTAAGGCTGCAGCTCCGACTGAAAGCTCAAATACCTCTAGGGGAGAGGCAACTGTGCCTCCTGACCCCCTGGGAGTGGAGCACCAGAGAGCAGATTTCCCGAAGGAGTGAGAGAGGAGGACAGATGGGGCCAGGAGTTCTGACGAAATAAAACCCCGATTCTCCAGAATCCGGGAGGACCGTGAAGTTCGCTGGTGCATTCTTTCATTCATTCATTCATTTGCCACACACAGACTGAGGGCCTACTGGGTGCACAGACGCAGCAGTGAGCTAAAGCAGATGTGGTCCCTGGCCTGGTGTTGCTGGGGGACAGGGTGGATTTTCCCCCCTTTTTCCCTTCCTTCCTCCCCCCTTCCTCCCTCCCTCTTTCCTAGTAATCCACTGAGCAACTGTCAAGAGCTTGCATTTTGGAGGAGGCTGATTTTAGGCAAACAGTTCTCCGTGGGGAGGCTCAGGCCGGAGAGGGTCAGGATGCAGTGAGAAAGGGGATGCAGCACGGGGATGTGGCCCGGGCTTCCTGGAGGTGGTGACGTTGCGCGTGGGACTGGAGAAGGACAGGACACAGGGGTGCAAGAACATTGGCTCCGAGAGTCCCAAACAGACCAGGTTCAGCCACTGGCTGCTGGCAAAATCCAAAGGCAGGGAAACGAGCGGTGGTAAAACACATTCATTTCAGGGAGGCCGACA